CCAATCAAAATTGAATATCATAGATTTAGGGTCTATTTAATAAAACTTTTGAAAAGTCAAAATTTATTTACAAAATTAAAATAACTATTTTTACATATCTTTAAATACTCATGTGATTATTTATTTATTTTTTAATATTTCACCTACCCGCTTTAACGACCTTGCTTTAAAACTTTTGAGGTCAAAATCCTTGAACTCGGACCATGTTTGAGCCTAATTTTTATCTTTAGAATACATTTTTGAATAATAGATTGATGGAGAATGTGTGGTTGAAAAATAAAAAATTATAAAAAAAAATTTATGTGTAATATTATTTTATTGAAGAATATATAATTAAAAAAAAAGAAAAAAAACAATTGAAATTAGTCGCAGTAAACAAAAAGATCTATGCACGTGCACGATTATGAACAATGGGGGTGACCCACAGGCCACGGTCCCATTGCTACAACCCAGCTGGCAACAACTCGGTTTCACGAAAAAGCATAATTACTATACCGTGTCGTTTTAGAATAACTTTTTGAACAACATAATGTCCCATTTGGGGTAGGTTAAAAGGTGATAAAATTTTTAAGTGCGAGTCAATAGTTAATTTTAATCATATATTTTATAAAATTCATAATTTTTCGTTCAAAAATTTCATTAAAATTTATCAAAATCGATAAAAAATCTAATGTTGTCATGTATTTAGCCCTTGTTTGGTATCTATTATTTTCAAATATATATTTTTTTATCTTATTTTCAATCATATTTTTTTTAATAAAATAAGATTACATGCAAAGCAAAAATTCTTCCTTATTTTTTTGACCATGCATTCTCCATCAAATCACTATTCCAAAATGAGGCTCGAATAGACTATGATATCACACATTTCATAGGATCCACAACTTTTCAATCACTCATTCCATCAACTTTTATCAAAATTTGCTAAAAGTCTGATTTTAATCTCTACCAAATAAGGGCGAAGTACTATTACATAGAAACTCTAAATTTTCCTATCCTTCCCATGACAAGTCATCATTCCCTTGCTGCATTAGTAAGAGGATAAATTTTATATGTACATAATTATTGTGCATAATGGATTACATAAGCCCATGTGGAAGAAATCCGATCGTGGATGTGAAGTGTGAAAAAATCAAAAATTGTGGACTACCGATGGATGCACGCCACATGTCAATTATATAATATATTATATAAATAATTATGTACTTGTAATATGATCCTTTTGTTATCTACCAATTAGCGTGACTTCTTGAAGAATGGATAAAGTTTTCAAATAAGCTCAGAATTCAAAACATGAGGGTTTATATGAAAACTCAAGTCTCTCTCCCTAGTATATTCCTAAAAAATTGCAAATTTAGTTTCTTCCTACATAGGATGAGTTTCACATGATAACTCTTTGTGGTCAGCCACAAAAAATAAAAAAATAAAAAATAGTGAAAAATATTGATCGATCACAACAACAATAGGCGAAGGCCGCAACAATAGAGTACGAGAGCCATAACAACGATACTTCATCACCAATAACATAAACGGATTTTCGAAGTATAAAAATATATTCGGTGAAGTAAATACCGCAATTCGCTCAAAAATGTGGTTGCGTCACTAGTGTAAATGAAAGGACAATAATTTATAAAATGGTAAACGAAGGCGACAACTCAAACGTCAACTAAAAGTTACACATCAGGAAATTTATAAAAGGACAATAATTACGTTTTTGAAGTTAAGGACAATTTCACTCAACAATTAAGGATACTAAAGAATTGACAAACGAAAAAAGAACATTTTAAAATAATCCCTCCAATGAATTTTGAAATTAGTACTATAAATCATTCAAGGAAGAAAGTAATAGGATAATCAATAGAAAAATAATAATTTCATTTATATAGCTTTCGTTATCCTATATATAATTTCCAAATAATATATGTTGTCAATTGCTGCACTCCATACATGTACCCATACAATAAATTTCTATATAATTGATACTACAAAAGGTCAAAATATAAAAAGTCTACGCCATTTTTTTAGATTCATTTACGAAGTCAATTTCCTGGACTCAAGGAAATTCTTTTTTGTCGAATCGCGAGATTTCATGTACTCAAGAAAACTCGCAAAATTTGTGTCCATGTAACGCCTTGGATTTGTTTCACTAATGAGTTTGGGACATGGTTGCACTGTGCTTTCGAAAGGAAGGCTATGTAGAGAAGCCACCGAAATCCTATAATTCATCGAATTCACCAATACTCTATGCAATACGCTCTTATACCTCCCATTGCTGAATATCTGTTCAAAACATACAAAAAGATAATGTTAAGAGTCGCATAACAACATACAAAGTCAAAATGTACCATACATCTTTTGTCTTGATTTATCGGGATCCTAAGTTGTGCAATAGACTGGACCCTCCGTGTTTTGGGGTTATGGGTTCCTCATGCAAATTTTTCGATTCAAAAGTATGTATTAGGTAACTTAATTCGCATTATATTAAAAATTTTAATAGGGATGCTAGTTAGTTAACTTTCCGAGTCGGTGAATATACGTGTCGAATACAGCTACGAACTCATGTATACGTACCTCAAGATGATCTCCAACATTGACAACAAAGGATCCAGGAATGGGTTCAACAGTAACCCAATTTTCTTGGTGCTGTATTTGCAATCCCTTGACTTCATCTTGGAGGAGAAGAGTGAGGAATCCATAGTCAGAATGAGGTGGCATTCCCAGTGTCAAATCAGGTTGTGGACAAGGAGGGTAACAATTCAGTATCATTAGCTGGCTTCCATCTTCAAATTCCTTTAATATCTCCTTTTCTTCGTCTTTATCATCATCGTCATCGTCGTCGTCCTCATCTTCTCGCGTCGTATTCTTTTTGTTCATTAGTCCAAGGCTTTCTAGGATGGCATCCACTAGCATTAGGAACAAGAATTTGACTTCTTTAGCATAACTAACAGCCAATGTCCTGTTTAAATATAGAAATAATTAAATTAACCAATCAAAACTTGTTTAGAACAGATGTACATATCATGCAAAAGTATAATAATTTTGAAAATTAATTACCATCAATTTAAACTTAATTAGTCTCTTTTTTACATATTAAACCCCAATTCTAACTTGGAAAAGCAATAATAAACCTAAAATAAAATGAAAAAGCAATTATTATAAGTTTTGCCAAACATGTAATAGTGTCGTCTTCAATATCTTATCGTTTTTCTGGTAAATAATATTTGAACTCTTACCTAAAATCATTTGGAGAAGAAGGACAATGGGGAAGGACATCTGGTAGAGGCTGACAAACCAATTTGAGAAAATCCCTCCAACAAAAGACACCATCAGTTCTCTGATTATAGCTTGTCCCATACCGAACAGGTGAGTTTATGTCTGCTGACATATATTTCTCTCTTTCTGAATATGGCATCTCAAAGAACCTTTTACTCACATCTACCATATTGCTTATAATCTCGTACGGAATACCATGATTCACCAGCTGCATTTATCCAATATTAACAAACTTTATGTCAATTCCTAAACTCATTGCATAAATATATAGTATGAAAAGAAGTTCCTTTTTGGCATTGATGGATTATCGTACTATTTCTCATAGTCCTCTATGCCAAACAAGTCATTTCGAAGGTCTTAAATTCTAGTTCAATAACCCACCTGGAAAAATCCATAGTTTTCGCAGGCAGAGGCAAGAGAATTAAGGACTTGAGACCGATTAGGACCCTGCAATTCGGCAAAATCAACGATTGGCAGCTCAAGATTGGCGTTGTCTGCGGCGCCAGTTGATTTTTCATGTTCAACAACATTGGGACGTTCCGAAGCTGGCAATATGTACTTCCTAGGAACATGCTCAATTCCCTTGTCGAACAGATGTTTCACTCCTTTCTTGTATTGCGTTTCCAGGGAATCTAAAGCATATTTTCGACTTTCCTCTGGCATTACCATTGCTGGAGACATGACAGTACAAGTATTTCCTGTAACACATACAGAAAATATTACATGCAGCACTAATAATAGAAAAGACTCGACTCAGACTCTATAATGAATAATGAACAAGATTTTAGTATTACCGACTCACCTGGCTAAGTCGTAATGAGACGAGAGCGTAAATTAAGAGGGAAATGAGATTATGGGAATTCAGGAAATGAATAGAGGTGTATTTATAGAGGAATAAAGAGATTACAACAGTATCTAGTTTTCTGAAACTGGTTAGGATTATGTAGATTTACAAGTACTGGTTTCCCTGCATTGACAAATTCTTCAAGACCAATAGCTTTTTGTGGGGACAATGGACGCCCTCCATATATGATTACTAACAAATTCAACTTCATAGTTATACAGTCCTCTTTCATAGGACCTACACCTCCCCGCACCCCACCCCACCCCGCCACACCTCAGTGGCCGACCTTTTTTTTTGTTTTTTTGTGGTATATATATTTCCTCTGGTGCCTGGCCATATCTATACTATTCATATCTTCAAAACAGTTGACTGATTCGAGACCGTCGTGTATAAAGTATTACCACAAGTCTTTAGAGCCTAAATCTCATCTGAACAGTTTCCTAGAGATAAATGTTAGACATGGGGATAGGATTAGGATAATAGCTGAATTTTTTAACTTATAGTAAATTTTTATATGAAACTTTTTCTTACTCATAAGTGAAATATTTACTTATAAGTAATTTGTTTACATATAAATGAATTTTTAATTTAAAAGTGAAATTTTAACTTATAATTACATTTTTTACTTATAAATAAATTTTAACTTATAAGCGAATTCTTTACTTACAAGTAATGTTTATTTTATATTA